ATTCCTTTTTTAAAGAAATATATTCCTGAGTATGTCTGGGCTGTTGGAATCATCTTTGGAGGCACTGTGACCGTATCTGGCCAACCAGGAACCCTTTTCCTTCAGTTTGAAAACTGACTCGGGTTTATTTTGTAGGGGAGTTGTTTCCACTTAGCTCTGGCAGATAGAGAGTTGACCATTTTGTTCAGGGCGTGGTGTACGATGTCTCTAACATGTTGCCTTGCAAATTGCTTTTCCAATAATATTGAATGAATTAAACTGCCTCCATGTGAAGGTGTCCTCAGAAGAGGGTGTATAGGGGCTGGGGATTTAGCTCAGCGGCATAAGCACCTGCCTTGCTAGCAGGCGGTCGTGAGTTCGATCCCCGGTACCGATAAAAATGAAAAAGACAAAAAAAAAAAAATTTAAAAAAGAAGAGGGTGTATGTATTTTGTTCCCAGAGCACACAGTTGCTGTGTAGTGACTTAGATATAGTCTCTAGGATTGTCTCAGAAACCCTGTGAGTTCTGGCCATCCTTGTTTTATAGATGAAAAACTTTTCAGAGGTCAAATAACTTACCCATGGTTACACACCGATGAGAGGAGGCGGGGGAGATAATACCCACTAATGGGCAGTGAATGTTTTTTGGGGTTAAATTCAGAAACCTGTGATAATATAAATTATGGCACATGGTAAACACATAGGAACAGTGGTTATTATTGGTGAGGATAGCAGGAATATTGCATAATGGTTGAGGAAACTGGGTCGGAACTCATAGCTGATTTTGATACCAGAGTGGGAGCTCACCATTAGCAAGTTACTTAGCCTTTCTGAGCTTCCATCTCAAATTAGAATTACTAATGGTGTTTACCTGTATTGCTGTCAGGGTATAAATTAAGAGAATGCATGTGAACTGCTTAGCACGGAGCTTTGCATACTCATGTCAGATACTGTGTTTATTATTACAGAGGAAAACAAATGCTAATTAGTTCATTCATTCACTCAAAGCAGTATTGATTGACTGCTTTCTGGGTCCCTGCCACTGTGCTTGGCAGGTGGGTCCAGGCTGTTCCAGGTGATATCAGTTATGTTCATGCATCAGAAGAAAAAGGAGGAGGAGAAGGGGGGGAGGAGGAATTAGTATTAAATAATGATATATTTGAATTCTGTCTTCTGAGGGAGAAGAGGCTTTTTTTGTCTTTTTGAGACAGGATCTCACTGTGCAGGTCGGACTAGCTTTGTGCTCACTTTGTAGCTCAGGCTGGTCTTGAACTCACAATGATCCCCCTGCCTTAGTCTCCGAAGTGTTGGGATTACAGTCATGTGCCATCACTCTGGGCTAAGAAGAGACTTCTGAACACCAGTTAGACATTTAGTTTGAAAGGTAAGATTGGAGAGCCCTGCAGTTTATTCTAGAGACAGTTCTTTTCTATCTTGATACCACCTTTATTCCTGGTCCAATTTTTTTTTTTTTTTTTTTTTTTTTTTTTTGGTACCAGGGATCAAACTCATGACCTCGTGCCTGCCAGGCAGGTGCTTATGCCACTGAGCTAAATCCTTGGCCGTTGGTCCAAATTCTTGTGCTGAAGCTAAAACTGTGGGATGATAATTACCAAAGGGTACACTTCTTGTTCAACTTTTCTTTCTAAACAAGGCATTGTTAGCTTTGTGCAAGCAGAGAGAGTCTCTGGTGAAAATGAAGAGGAGCACAGGTCAGAGTTCAGGCTGAGAAGTTGGCTGAGATGTTGTTAATCAGCTCATTAATCTGTTCCAAGCCCAAACTGTAAAATGGGGTAGGGTCTATCACATAAGATGTAAGACTGCTGTAAAGATTAAAAAATCACCTATGAAAATGGTTAGCAGGCACCAAATGCCCACTAACAGCTGTCATTATTGTTGTTGTTGTTATGCTTGTTTCCTTGGCAGGGAGTTAGCTGATTCACATAGGTTCCTTTAAAAACATTTCTCTGCATAGCCAAACAAAGGTTTAGTGTTTCTTAAAATTAATGATTCACTTTCTTCAGTAATACCTAAGAAGCATTTCGTGTACAATGCTTTTTGAAATCAGCAGAGATGTGCCCTTGAGTGCCTGGGGCCCTTGACTATACACTAAGCCTTATTTTTACTCAACTCAGAAGTGTGAGCCAGCCAGGACTCAGGAGGATGATGTGACAGGGTCACAGACTTACTCAGAGGAATACTGTGGTCATCCTGAGCTCACTGCTGTAGCCATAGAAACATTTGGTAATGGAGCTGGAAAACAATTCGTGATGTGAGTGTAAACAGATTGCATGTCACCAAGCCTGGAGGTGCTTGCAGATTAAAAGGAAACTGAACATCTAAAAGCAGAGTTGGGAGGGAGGTGAGGGAGAGAATAGTGAAAGGGTACAATGTCAGATGAGGCATAAATTCTGCTGGCCTATGGCACAGTTGGGTGAATGTAGTTAGCAATGATGCACCGTAGATCACAACATCCCTAGGAGAGAGTCTGTGCTCACTGTAAGAATATGATAAAAAGTTTAAGGTGATCATGATGTATGCTAACTATCCTGGTTAGATCACTATACATGAATCAAAACATTACACTACAAAATATGCAGTTAGGATGTGTTGATTAGAAGGAAGATGCAGACTCACAAAACTAATACATAGGGGATTAGATAGCAGGCAAAGCAAGAAGAGAGCTTAAAGCGAATAAAATACTAGTTTCTGATGTGTGCATCCTATTTGATCTGGTAGAACATGGAGAGTTAGAAGGAACACAGGCCAAGTGGGCAGGCCATGTGCATTTTACTTTACCTGGTCACTGACTTGTGGGGCACTGGACAAGTCCCTTAGTTCTCTGGGGGTTTCTGTGTCTCCATCTGTCTGGTAAGGGATTGGATTAATCAGACAAACTTAAAGTTTACTTCTGGCCCTAACACTGTGCTTTCTCGTAGCTTACCTTCTTAAATTTTTACTGTTTATGACATAGTTGCTTATGCTGTGGCCTTTTCAGCTTTTTTTTTTGTCCCCAAATCCTTGATTTTCCTCCAAAAACTCTTGGGTGGATGGGTCGGGGCAGAGGTGTGGATGTCAGGTGATGTAAAGTTAGAATTAAAAAAAATTTAAACAGTTGTTGATGCTTAAGAAATATTGCTTAACTTTGACTTGCAATTTAACAGAAATATTTTGCTTGTTTTTATGACTCGGTCCCTCACTGTAGTTTTTGTTTTGTAATTGCCTTTATTGTCCTCATTGCCAAAAAGCCCGAATAAAGGTCAGAATTATAATTATGGGATTTTTTTTTCAGTTCATCTCTGTATGCAATTTCTGGTAAAGGACTGTGCTTGAGGGATGCCAGTGGTGTTTCTTCCTGACATTAGCTATGCTTGTTTTAAACTGAGACTGTACATATCTGACTCCTTAAAAATACAGAAGATTTGGGGCATTTTAATGGGTTGGAGGCCCATAACAAGTTTTCAGAACAAGTTGAAAATGGAAGATAGTAAGATTTTTTAATTATATGATACTACTATTTGTAGTAAAAAGTTTGAGCTGAAGTTTCCACCTTCCAAGTTTTTATTTTGGCGTTATCTTTCTCAAGGAAGATCTCTGAGGATTACTAGTAGCCCCGTGGTAATTAAACTGTGTAACTGTTGGCAGAGAAATGGGGCTGGGGCTCAGTGAAGTAAAGGGAGGTAATACGTTCTGTGCTGTGTCATTTTAAGTAAATCACAACATTAATTCAGTTTTCTACATTGTGCAGACAGTACTACTACCTGACTTACTGTCTCACCAGCTGTGTCAGTTATTGTGGGAGGGTTAACCCGGCTTTGCAGTCTGGATTGGTGGAGTACACTTCCTGGTGTGTCTGAGGTGTGACCCTTGGGGTCTATAGCTGGTCCGTTTCCCCTTCTCCGCTCACCAGCTGCCAAGAACTAAGCAGCTTTGCTCGGTGATATTGCTTTTGCATGATACACCTTCTTTGGAACCAGATGACCATGGACTGGATCCCCTTAAAATGAGTCAAATTTAACCTGTCCTTCTTTAGGTTTGGGTGTTGAGGGTTGTGTCTGGTTACAGGAGAACTGATGGATGTAGAAATCTTCTGTGAGGATTATATGGAAATGCCTACCTAGGCATAATAAAGTATGGCTTACACGTAACAAAATGGAACGAACATGTAAGAGCACATTTATACATTACTCTTTCAAGAGTTTACATAGAAATACAAGGAATGAGTATGCAAGGCATCACTAACACTCGTTTCTCTGAGTAGGTCGTACCCTTTGTTCCACTCACTAAAGTGACTTTTTCTTCTCTATTTCTAAAGGACTTCGCATTTAAGAAATATGTACTTTGTATCCTTAAAAACTTATGTCAAGAGCAATAAATACATAGTCTTTGGGATTAACTGCCTCGCAGTAAAGCATTCAACAAACGCTTGCAACTACAGTAAATCCTAGCGTGTCTTAGGTTTCTGTCTATGGGATTTCAACAGCTTTTCAGAGAACTGTTTCGTCGGCAGTTTATTCTCTGCAGAGATTCGGTATCCCAGCGGGCAGTTCCATTTCACTAGGCTGAAGGTCATTCCCGCATATACTGTATTCCCATTTGAGGTCACGGCACAGCAGTGCCAGTTCAAAGCCAGCGAGAGACACAGGGAACGATGAACCGGCAACCACAGTCAGGAGACGGAAGAACAGGAAGCCCTGGGTGCTGTGGTGCCCTCCGGGTGGTGAAGCCCCGCGGAGGGAGGGCTCCTCCTTCCGCCGTCTCCACGCGGGTTTGTCTCCGGGAGCTTTTAAATTACTCAATAGAGTTCTCCCCGCACCCATCGCCTCGATCCGGGTACCCGCGTGCCCTGGTTCTGCCCCTCGCGACCGGACCCGCGCACGCGCACAAGCAGGCACGCACGCGGGCACGCAGGTCCCACGCTCGCTCCGATGGCGGCGCGCCTGCGCGGACGGAGCACGCTCCGTGCGGGTTGAGCGGTGCGCCGCCGCAGGGGCAGGGTGCCCGCCCGGGTCGCCGCCTACTTCGTTCCGGCTCCGCCTTCCCCGCCGCGGCCGCGCCATGGTGCTGGAGTCGGTGGTCGCAGACCTGCTGAACCGCTTCCTGGGGGACTACGTGGAGAACCTTGACAAGTCGCAGCTGAAGCTGGGCATCTGGGGCGGTACGCGCGGGCGGCGGCGCGGGCCTGGGGACGGATGGGCGGGCTTGGGCCAGGACCTCGGCGGAATCGTGGGTCAGTGCGGTCGGCCGGGTGAGCCGTGCCGTAAGGGGTCGCTTGCAGCTGCTTCCGGGCGGACGGGCGGCTAGCGGGGGGTGGGCTGAGGGATGTCCCCCGGCACGCTGAGCCAACACCGCCCGCAGTTAATGTGCTGCAGCGATACAGAGCAGTCCTAGCCCAGACCTGCATCATCATCATCATCGATTAGGTGCCTGGGCGCCGGAAAACGCTCGCAGCCTTCTGGTCCTCAGCGATTAGCCGTGCAGAGTGGATTCTGAGTAGTGTACTTAAGCGTTCTTCCCGGAGCTTCCTTAGGGCTAGGGGTGTGGCTTGGGGGAGGGCTGGAGCCCGGCGTGCCCGAGGCCCTGGTTTCCAGTGCGGACACTTAGTTATTGGCAAAAACTTTGCCTTCAGCTTTGTGGATATTGCGAATACTTTCTTCTTCTGTGGAAGATTTTGTCAGCTTTAGTGGGAAATGCAGAAAAGTACGCAAATGTGGTAGTTACTGAATCAGTTAAGGAATGTTTAGGAACCTGCTCTAAAAGGGAAGCTACCTATTAAGGTAGCTGTGGAGCCCTTGAAATGTGATGAGTGTGAACTAAGACGTGGTCCAAATGTAATATAAACACTGGCTTTTGAGTATGAACGTTTTTCGTAATACGACAGGAGAAAAATGTGCAATTTCAGTAATTTTTAAAATCCTCATCTATTGAATGATGATATTTGACTATATTGGGCTAAATTAAATGTTACTAAATTTTATTTCTCTGTTTCTTTTTACCTTTTTTGTCTCTTTTTCCGTTTTGGCTTTTTTGAGACAGAGTCTGGCAATGCAGTTCAGACTGGCCTTGGACTCACTTTGCAGCCCAGGCTAGTCTCGAATTCGCAAAGATCCTCCTGCCTCAGCCTTGGATTATAGACATGCACCATCACTCCCAGCTTCATCCTTTTTTTGTGTTTATTCGTTGTTGCTGGGGTTCAAGCCCCAAGGCCTTGTGCATTCATGTCATATGGGGTACACTGTACACCCACACCCTGATACTGTTTTCTGTATTTTAGAATATAGTGTTCAGACAGGCCCTACGGGAACTGTATAATAGGCTCAAACAAATTTATTTTTTTCACGGATTGTGTCGAATGCATATCTACTTGGATATTCATTCCCTCAGCTTTATCGATCCACCTCTCCGATTTTATAATTTTGCTTCATAATTTGTGGTTACTACAAAGGAAGAGAGAAGTTAGGTACTTTTATTTACAGTTACTGTTCAGCATATCTTCATAACACCAATTTCCCTTAAAATAGAATATCTGAATTGATTATTTCTGTTCTTAGCAAATATTACCAAAGAAAGTAGCTTGAAACATTTTGGAATGAACAAATGGGAATATAAACTTGATAAAGCTTTATGAAATTGTAATATTGATGGTATGCAAAGATTGAAAATTTTATATGGTTCTAATTGAAAATTATTTGCATTATCAGATTAGATTTGCATCTTCACAGTTGGGTTTTTCAGTTTTTTTCTTGTTGAATTTACACGTTTTCAAGAGGTGAAGAATTCACATAGTTGATCTTATAAGTGTTTGGAAGTAACTGTGTTGATACTTGGTAATGGTAGTATTTGACTAGTTTAAGTAGTTTTTTTGGTGAGCAAGTGACTTTGGTCCCCAGGGGGTGGGAGGATATTTGGCAGTATTCTGCCATGAAGAATTACACAGCCTTCAGTGTTAGTTGAGACACTGGTGTAAAGAGAATGAATGCTAAGATTGCCTTCTGCATGTATAGGAGATGTACAGAGCACTGCACGCATTTTAGGAGGGCCGTTGAAAGAGGACATACAGTGGGGAGAGGAAACAATGTGTTAAAAGTGACTGGAAGTTATGTTGCATAATTTTTGGATGGTCTCAGGAAGTGGTTTTAAGATTTAGAATACTGTGTTTACATGATTTAAAGAGGATTGGGTTGTATATAAACTTGTACATATATAGCTACTCAGCAAAATCAATAATAAAAATAATAAATGTTTTTAATAATAATAAAAGGGACAGGGGATTAAGTATCAGAATTGGGCCGTGGGTATTGCTTTTGAATTAGAGAAGCTGCTCCCCTCAAACAAAACCCAACAAATAACTGAAGCTATTGTTTTTCTTTTGGGTTTTCCTCTTAAAGTGTTTATTAATACCAGGCAGTTCTCAGTATTTTTAAATGGGTTTAGGCAGAATGCCCTTTCAAAAATTGCTGTTTTAAAAAAATTAGACCCTAAGTATTTACTAGTTATAGGACCGTGGGCAAAACATTTTAATTCTCTTAGGTCTTAGTTTCCTAATCTGTAAAGTGAGTAGGATCTATAATGATGTGAAAATGTCTCGTGATTGTTAGTACTAACAGGAATGATGATAGTAATCCCACCTGAGTGATGGAAAAAAGTTTACTTATTTCCTAAGTATATTTCTTTTAAATTCAAACTCTGGTGCCTTACAGTTTATAGAAGGTAGAACTAGCATTATGTATCTAAACACTTCTTATTTTCCCAGGGAATTTCTTAAAAAGTCTGATTGGGTTTGCATTTACCCTCCTGCCAGCTGGTGTGGAATTTGGGTTTGTGAAGATTGAGAGGAATGCCTGGTGGACACGTGTTGCTGGTGCAGATAGGAGGATTTACTTAGGTTTTTGTTCTCCACATCCTGGCACCAGAAGAGAAATTGCACAGCCCTCAGCTATCTGGGGTGCATCCAGGATGTAATTGTTTTATGCGCAGCGAGTATTTGGAAAGTGTGTTGAAATCTAGGTCTTTTGCAATGTAGGTACCGGGGTAGGCTCTTTGCCAATTTGATTTTCATAGTGATTTAGTGTGGAGGAGCAGGGACATCTCTGGTGAGACCTTTGGTTCTCAACTTGGGTTAGAGGAGTGGAGTACACAGGTGGCCAGGAGATGTTGGTCGGAGGGAGCGGCTGAGGCGGCCCTAAAGAGGAACAAGGTAGGGAGTGCTCAGAAGCCCTGCAAGCCAGACTGCTCTGTGGGGTTTACTGTCCCATCTTTCTCTCGACTCCCCTTTGCTTGCCAGTACCCATGGAGTAGGGGTGGCGAACCTTTCAGAGCTTTCAGTGACATGAACAGCCTACTGCTGCACACGTGCTGTAGATTTGCAATCACTGCCGTAGCCTGATCCCTTATTTGAAATTCTTGGGGCCAGAACTGTTTTTGCATTTTGGGTTTTTGTCCCCAGATCTTGGAATATCTGTACATATGTAAAATGAGATTTCTCTGTGTGAGATCCAAGTTTAAACACAGTATTCATGTATATTTCGTATGTTCCTTACATGTCTTACGCATGTAGCCTGAGTGTTTTTAGTGTCAGTGTACTTTGACTGTGATGCTTCATGTGGCAGTGTGGCAGGCAGCATTCCAAAGGTTTGGGATTTTGTAGCAGTTTGGTATCGGGTCCTGATCTAGATCGCCCATCTCCCAAATGAGTGTACGGCAGAGGTTAAATTAAAAGAGAGAAATTGTATGATTTTTTAGGGCTTCAAGAGGGTCAAGACCCTTTAATTAAGCCCGAGACTCAGAGGGCTGAAACAGAGATTTCTCTGGACTGCCCATTTTATTTATGAGGTCCAACAACAAGGGGTGGGGAAACTGAGGAAAGTGCAGGCAATGAGCAGGACCTTGGGAGTCACTTCAAGGACGTCTCCAAGAAATGAATCAAGTCAGTTCAGTAGCTCTGTCTTATCATGAAGACATGCTAGGAGTGACTGTAGGAGTAATTTCTGTAGCTGCAGTCTTTACCTAGTTAATTAGGGTTGGAGCCAAGTGTCCGAAGCTGTGGCCTTATCTTGCCCTTTGAGGTATCCCTGACCTCACAGGCCACTATAGGCCTTAGCCAGGACCAGTGATTCATAGAGGTTCACTTACTATGAATCAGCTCCTGTCGCCAGGCAAGGTGCCTAGGCCTAGGACAGACTCACAGATAAACATAGAAAGCCAACTAGTAAAATTTAAGCCCTGCTCAGAGCTGCTTTGTAATGGTCTCGAACAGTTTGGATTTTGGGTGTTTCATCAGGGATGCTGCCCGTGGCGGTGAAGCAGAGCAGCATTGGAAAGGAGGATTAGCTCTGAGGTGGCACCAGGAATGCAGGAGCCTGGGTTCCAACCCTGACTCCGGTGCTGCCAGGTTGTGTGGCTTTGGTAGGTCACACTGAGCAGTGATGTTTGCTTCTTAATCTGTAAATCAGAAGGATGGGCCAGGTCTTGTCTTTCCTCGTGGGAGCAAACCCAGAGCAGCCTGAGCCCCTTGTGAGGTGAGCAGGTAAGCGCTCTGCTGCTGACCCTGCTGCGTGGTGAGAAGAGGTCCGGTGAGCCAGATGCTGTCCTGTGTGTTCTTTGCTCACTGCTGGGCATTACACTGATAATTGACGGTCCAAGGCTACAGTATTATCATAAAGGGAGCTGTAGGGCAGTGTGGGAATGAAAGAAAAAGAAGATCTTTTGTTTTCTTCCCTCAACACATTGAAAATAAAAAAAAAAAAAAAAAAAACAAGACTCAGGTGCCCAGATGTTTTTAAGCCTGTAGAGAAAAGTTGAAAAGTCCTTTGTTGCAGGCCAACACCTGGTGTAACCGAAGGCCTGGTTTCTTACCCACTTGTCCTGTAGTATATACACTAATCCACAGAAAGATCCTTCTGGAATGTAATATATATGTTATCAGATAAAGCAGCATTATGGGTTAGAAAATGAGAGTCAGCGCTTTGTAACCATTCTGCTAGGAAGTGAGAGCACTACTCACCCTCACGGGATCCCTCCTGCGTGGGAGGGAGAAAGTTCAGGAGGGCTCCGGGTGACTGCAGCTTGGACCTTCCTTTGCCAGAACTTCCCCTTTCAGGAGTTGCTTTTCTTTTCTTCCCCGGCTGCTCCCAGCAGTCTCCATGCAGATCAGAAGCAGTGTCCCTTGGATAGTGAGGCGTCCAGGGCTAGGCTGGTGTGAAATTTGTTCATGAATTGCTACAGTATTCTCCTCATGTTTCCTAAAACTGGTCATTAAAATAACTTGATTCCTTCTTTTCAATAATTTCCCTGACTTCTTTGGGAAATGAGTGTGTGTACATTTTGTTACACTTTCAAATGAGTAGAGAATGCTTATGTCACAGGTGCATACAGAAATCTGTAAGTCTGTGGCACTGAGTGTTCTTTTTTCCTGTTTTACCCAGTGTCCTGGGTTAGGGTGTGATATGTTTGGATATTGGGTGCTTTTGAATTTTAATCACAGTTTTTGATGACTGTCTCTTTTTATATGAAGAACGTTGGCCATGGAGTCAGGAGACATAGTTTCTATGCTTACTACTGCCACAACAATATTGGAGAATCTTGGATAAATCTCTTGATGTCCTTATGGTTTATTCATGTATAAATAATGAGGGAGGATTAGATTTATGTGGTCTAAAACATAGCTTGGGAATTTCTTTTTCTTTTTGTTGAGAAAGTAGATTTTCACCCCGCCCCCCACAGGTTTTGCCTGCGGCCTGTCCTTCCTTCTGTGTGCTGCTAACAATATCCCTTGGCTGGTGCTGCCTGCGCTTCTGCCCTGGCTGTACTAATTTTAGTTACCCTTTTTGTTTCTGGAATTTTTTTCCATCTCTCTGAAAATGCAGAGAGTGAAAGTAGAGCCCACAAGTACACAGGCTTCCCAGCCTGGTGTCTGCTCTCCTCTGGCATTTTTTTCCTCTCAAGGAAGTAGTTTGACCTTCTGAGTTAAAGTCCTGCTCCGCTGCTGCCCTGCTGTTGCAGAGTGGTGCTGTGAGCCCGGCCTTGGACACAGAGGACGGAATGGTGGCCCTGCTGCTTACAGGTCCCTGTGATACTTTGAGGCCCATCCTTTAACCGCACATTAAACCTCAGTATATCTGTATGCTTTCTTAGTATGTCTGTCCTTCTGCCCAGGGGGCTGTGAGGGTCCAGTGGTGTCATAGATCTGGAAGTACTCTCTAAAAATAAAAGTTTATGTCTGTACTGGAGTTGCTTCTGCCCCGTACGGTGTGCATCCTGAACCGATGAATTCAGCATTGGTGGAGTACTTGCTATGAGGAGAGTCAAGGGTTTATAGTTAGGTTGGGTTTATATAAAGTGTTAAATATCGCAAAGAAGGTGCAGCTGAAACTTCTGAGAAAGTTGGGGGAGGTAATTTCAGGTTAGAGGTTTTAACACCAGCACTATAATTTTTATATTTATTTTCTAGGTCATTATGTATTTTAAAAGCTGTTCTTATACTTACTAGGCATAGTTCTGTATTACCCCACTGCCATTGGAGTTTTATTCGCAAATAGATGGATTTAGTTGTTCTGTAATGTAGCACCTTTTTTTTTTTTTAAAGGTTTCTCCAATGCTTGATGTCATTTGCCAATTTTAATGGATTTAGTTCCATTTCTGTCTCTGGTTTGAGAATGAAGATTCATAGATAAATATGGGTTAAAGATTTACCCTTTGAGATTAAAATCTCCACGGTGGGCCTTAAGATCTGATGTGTGACTTTATGGCTGTTGTGCAAAGTGTTTATAGTGTGTTAAGGAGACTCCCAAGCTCTCCTGAGGAGCCCACCATACCTGCTGCTTCCCCTTAGGCAGGGCTTTTACCCTTTTTCCTGGCCCTGTTAATCTGCAAGCTGCTGCCTCCTCTTTGTGTTGGGGCTCCTGGCTTCTCCTCTAGTGCAAACAGTGTGCAGAATGCGATTGTTATAGTTACGTTGTCAAATAGCATTCACATTGTTTTTCAGAGCGGAAGTACACATTTATTTGTTAGATTTTGGATAGCAGAAATAGGTAGTTCTGTTAGTTTTTTGTCTGCAGATAAGATAGAAGATACAGGAGGAAATGATATAAAATATATTGAGGTCATGTTGACATTGGGATTTACCTTTATTTCCCCATTTCCCTTATAATCTGGTAAGTGGATAAAATATATGACAAGTAGAAAATATTGAAAAAATAAAAAGCCATCTTTAATCCACCACCCAGTTATAATCTCTTGTGAGCTGTTTGCCCATCTTTTTAAATACACTTGTTTAACTTCATTACCTGTATTGGTGCTGTTCAGTGTTTCCCAATGTGTTACTTCATCACAGAGCCAAAATTTGTGCATTGGAAACATCCCTTATTTTAAAAGATTTTTTTTTTTTTTTTACACCTGTTGTGTTACTGTCTTGGTAGTTGTTTTGAAAACTTCACCTCTAATGCCAATGACTTCTGAGCGCTCCTGGTGATGCTTAGATCCTCCCAGGCAGGTATGCAAGTCTTCTGTGCACTTCAGCTATTGCTGGAGTAGTTTGAATGGCTTTAGTAATGCACTAGCACTGTGCATATCTGTTTTGTTGGTTTGACTTCCTAGTTGTGTTTAGTATGATTCATTGTTTGATAGACTAAAACCCAGGAATATATGTACATCTTATATGACTTTACTGCAAATAATACTTAAGGATTTTTTTTTTCCAACTGCCAAGCACATGCCAGTTTTTTGCAGTTACTGTGTTAGTCCTAGATTTGCACTGGTGCCAGCCTGTCAGTCCTGACTCCAAAATCACTCTACTGTAACTCCATGTCTTTGACTCTGAAGTTACTGCCTTAGTTTAAGTTTTTTCGTTGTGTTGTAGGTGCTAGGCTACTGCCTATATTCTTGCCTCCTCCTCTTGTTTTATAATACTTTTCAGCAATTTATTTTAGGAAATTTGAAAACTACAAATACCCAGAAGATGTCCTATAGAGACATGAGCTTTATGCTATGTGTCTTTTTATCAGTGCTGTGCATACACCAGTGTATTTGGTATAGCTTTTGAAGTTGGATCAATCTATGCATTTTAATCTTTTAAAATATTCTGTGCATATTTTACTGTATTTCTTTACTTTTTTTGGTTCTAATGTAGACACATTATGATTTATGCCTCATTGCTGATATTTCCATTTTTAGGCAGGTCCTTTGCCATGTGTTTTAGCTTTTAACATTGTATTCCTAGGGGTTGGTCTGCATTATGATAGGTTATACTAGTTGTTGTGTTAATGTATTTTTTTTCCTTCTCTCTTTAAAAGGCAATGTGGCTTTAGATAATCTACAGATAAAAGAAAATGCTCTGGTAAGTCTTTTTTAAAACTACGCTAATAACTCAGTTAATTTGGTTACTGGGCATCTGGTACCAGGTACCATATAAAGTGATTGAGTCATTTTATTTAATGACAATGATTTTCCATTAGGAAATCTCAGATTAAAAATACAGAAAAAAATTTCTCCTAATGATCAAGATAGTATCTTTTGGAAAGTGGAACTTTTACCTAACCTAACTTGACTATAACATCATAGTCTACATTTTTCTTCTGAATTATCTTTACACGTTTTTCAACTAAATAAGGGCTTGACTTTAACAACTATGTAATGAATTATAGTAGTCTGGCATTATAAAACAGTAATAATAAGAAAAAAAGAATTTTTTTAAAAAATAAGAATTAAAAAAAAAATACTAACTGCAGAAAATAATTTTTGTCCCTTACTGTGGAGCAAGCAAAACAATTTTCCTCCTATCCCATTTGCTTTCTATTTAGTTTGTTGGGTTAAATTTACATTTATGAAGTCACTTCATCACATTTTCAGGTTCCTAATTTCTAGTTAATAATATCTTTCTGCATTGGTTTAATCATCTTTAAATCACACTTTATTATTTATTTATTTGTCTTTTTGAGACAGGAGCTTGCCATCTCTTTCTGACTGGCCCTGGGCTCACATTGTAGCCCAGACTGGCCTCTAATTTACAACAATTTTCCTGCCTGAGCCTCAGGAGTGCTGGGATTATAGGCACGTATCACTACGCCCAGCTAAAGCACAATTAATTTATAGCATTAAAATACCTGTGTTTGTGGCTTGAATAAGATGAAAAATGAACTGGAGGGCTGGGGATTTAGCTCAGCGGCATAAGCACCTGCCTTGCAAGCAGGCGGTCGTGAGTTCGATCCCTGGTACGGATAAAAAGTTAAAAAAAAAAAAAGAAAAATGAACTGGAAAACTGTGGGTCCTCAGAATATTTGGTTCTTTTTTCCTGTGTTTATATGGCACATCACAACTTTTAAATTTTGTCCAAAAACTTGAGTTATTTTTGTATTGTTAGAGATTGGAATAAAGCTTACTTTTCTCAGTTTATGTCAATATTTTATAAAAACATAAGTATAAATAGAATTATGAGCATAGAAAACAAATTGAATTCTTAGCCTAAGTTGAAGAATGTATCTTTAAAATTTATTTATTTATTTATTAAATGAGACAATTATTTAGTTAGTTTTTTTTTAAGTTACTGTTTTAGTTACTGTGTGAGATAACTTCCTTTTCTTGTTCTAGCATTTCTTTTAAACTATGTCTGTGTGTTTAAGTTAATGGAGCTTATATTTGATTTGATTTATTAGGGCAAATTAACCAATTTATCCACTTCCATTTTTAAACTACAAGCTGTTTAAATTTTTCTTATTAATAGTTTTCCATGTGAATTTTTTATGCACAGTCAAAGTTCAGTAAAGATTTTTTTCTTTTAAAGCTATAAACCCTTTTCTGAATTACTGAAATACAGAAAATGCATTATTTATTTTTTTCTTTAGAGGGTACTGTATTTCTGTATATACGTGATACTAGAGTAACTTTTGGGGGCTTAATAATGTGAGATGTCCTTTAAATTTCTCTTTTTTCCTGAAGAGTGAATTCGACGTTCCTTTTAAAGTCAAGGCTGGGCAAATTGGTAAGTACTTAACTTTTTGTATGAATTATTATTATTCCTTTGTTTTTTATTTTTTTGCATTACTTAAACTAAGAAATGGTGTTAAGCTTGACCAAAAGTGTGAGAAATTTTTGTCTTACATTAGTGCTTATAGAGTTCTGAACTTAATACACATAACATATAAATAATACCTACCTGAATGTTTTGGCAGAAGGGTAGAAGTTACCCTCCAAGGTGAGGGGACATTTAAACTGCATCTGTGCTCTTCAGGCTTGGCTCCACTGCATAAATACAGCATTGGCTTGACTATAGATATCCACCTTGTGTAAGCTTTTCTTTGTTTGTGAAAGTAGTATAATTCATAAACTATTAATAAACTTTAAATGCAGCTTATTTCCCTCACGTTTTGTTCAACCATTTTCGCTTGCTGTATTACACAGCAGTGTGGTACGGATGCTATGTTTTGGTGAGTATGGGGTCTTTCTCTTTGCAGCTAAATTTTTTTTGTTTGATTTCTGGAATCGAACTCAGGGCCCTTGCACTTGCCAGTAGGGTGCTGTGTCGCTGAGCTATATCCCTGGCCCTGCAGCTAAATTCTTACACTTAGACCATACACAGCTAAGTATATGATTTTCAATAGGAAGTTTAATCTACAAAGTTCTCCCAACTAATCCACACTATTGGAGATGTCTGTCTGTCAATCTATCCATCCATCTCTACACCCACACTTGATTCCTTATTTATACTGTAGAATCTTCTCTTTTGCCATATCCGTCTATATCCCAGGAGTGTATCACACTGCTGCTTCTCTTCACTTAGTACTCAAGGTTTGAGAAGGCTTTGTTTTTCACTACTCCAGTGTCTTAGTAATTACTTACTTATTCGGGTCCATTTTTATGTGTCCTGTTAATGTAAAGGAATGTTTTCATGTTTTTTCACATTGGAAATAAGAGTCCCTTATTTTGGAAATATCTCAAGTACATGTGTCACCTTTTTTGTTTGTATTTTAAGTAGCATTGACTATTGTTGTGCTCTTTAGCACTGCTTGAGAAGTATTGTTGTTGAGGCCGTATGCTTAATGAAATCCAGAGTGTAGAACTTACAGCCATTTATTCATCCTTTTACTTTACATACATGTGCTAAATCCAAAACTCTGCCAATAGTTGTGGGAGAGGCTAGGGTAAATATGGTATGTTTGCCTTCAAGGAAGTTACAGAGATCTAAGATTGGGACATAAGTTAAAATTGCATTTCTAGTATATTTGATGAGTTATACTGACATATGTTATATAGCTAACATATTTTATGTTATTCAAATTTTTTTTTTTTTTGTACCCCAGGGGTCGAACTCAGGACCTCATGCTTGCCAAAGTGCTTATGCTACTGAGCTAAATCCTTGGCTACTCAAATATTCTTACAAGGAGATTTGTATGTTGGAATAAGTTTTCTCATGATTTAAAATTTGTTCTGTTTTCTTTTAACGTGCCATGAGGATTTATACCTTTTCCAGGATTATTCATTGAGTATTGAGAAGGCCATTACATATTAGGATATAAAGTATATTTTATTTTTATCCTTTTCTGGTTTATGGAGTGTTTATATAAGTTATTAAATTTCTGTTCAGGGTTAAAATATTGTACCTAACTTGTAGAGTCAGTGTAGCTAAATAAGCTGAAACATGATTTGATTTTCTAAGAGCTAATCATATTTGTGAGTGACTCTAGGTTGTCTTTGTACTTAAATTAAAACAAAGTTCTTATCTCTGAAAGGAGGGGATAATACAACTAGCTGAGTTCCAGGACCTTCTGGAGGGATGAGGGCAATGAGTTAGGACAGAGGGAAGAAGAGGTGTAGGACATAAGCAGTCCTTTGTGGATATAGCACCTAGAGGAGCGCTTCCCAGTCTCGGTCTTACGCTAGGAAGGCAGTCAGATACATTTTGTTATGAGATTGTGAGATGATTGCAAGTAATATGTGTATGGTAGTATCATATATGTATTTGGTACCACAAGATTGTCAGAGGTGACTAGAAGCGTGGTGGTCTTAGCAGATCCCCTGCCTCAGAGCCCCTTAGAAACTCAGCACGTTACCAGCCAGAAAGAAATGGCGGGTATTTCTGGCTGAGTGCTGCAACCCGGCAGGACAGTCTGCATTCCAGATACTACTTTATTCCCTCTTCAGGTCACTGCATTCTTTATCAGTTCTTTGAACTTTGGGCATCTTCAATTACAAATGCCATCGATTCTTGTACTATGGCTTAGTGTGAGTTGAAAGATTCTTTTCTGCTGAAAGTCTTGGTCAGCAGTACTGAGAGAACTGTAGATGTTATATCATTATTTTAAAAAAGTTATGAGGAAGGAAGGTATTTATTTTTGGAACATAAAAAGCAGGGATAGGAAAGATGTGGGCAGGATTGTTACTAATACTACTAAGGGGAGACTGGGCCATGGCTGCCTGGAGACCTGGACAGGTAGATACAGAAGGAGACAGGATGAAGGAGGACATGGGAGAAAATACCCAAAACAGATTTTGTCCATTTCAGAATTTAGCTTTCTTCTCTGCCTTTTGCCCTGCATACCTTTCTCCGGGAATTTCATGGGCTCATCTTTGAAGGACCTGACATTAATGACCTGTGTCCAAGAGAACAAATGTATTCTGCCTCCCAGTGGTTTGTAAATACAAGTTAGGAGTATAAATGGTCTGAGTCGTGTAACACTACTAACATCATAGCATTATTGATAAAGTAATTTATCTTGCCTTTAGAGCTACCCTCTTTTCATTGTGGCGGTTCAGTCCCCTGGGGCTCCTTGCTGTGTTGTGCTTTAGCTCCTGGCATCTTGCGCAGATACCATTTTACACTTGGGCTCTGGAGAGTCAGTGGCTGATATGAGTGGACGCGCGTGGGCCTGCACGCAGGGTTCTGGGTGCTCTCTCATGGGCTGCAAGGATTTGGGACAATTTAACCTCTCCCAGACCGAGTTTCCTCTGTTAAAAAACTGAAGGAGTAGCTGCTTCATTTCTCTTATCATTTTAGAATGTCAAATAAGAACTAGCAAGAAATTTGACAAATATAAAGAAGTTTGCTTCTACTAGTAATATTATATGGAAAAAAGCTTTTAAATGCTAGTGTTGCAATTTTCCTGAGTAATAATGTATGCATGAAGAATTTTAATGATACTTTTAATGAAAAGTGAGAAATTTTTCTTTTATTGAGCAGTGAAACAAGGACTTAAGATTGAATTATGTTTCTGTAGGTAAATTAGCTTTGAAGATTCCTTGGAAAAACCTTTATGGAGAAGCAGTTGTTGCAACTCTAGAGGGATTGTATCTGCTTGTTGTCCCTGGAGCAAGTATGTTTTAAGTTATAACAATTCAGTGATATCATAGGGATATTAAATTGTTGTCTGGGTTAAATATCTAATTTATTTAGTAAGGTACGAATATGTATACATAAATAGCCACATTTGTGTGTATAATGTCTTATTATTATAAAGAATATATGCAGTGTTTTAAATTCTATTCTCTGAGTAATTATTTTGCATCTAATCTTTCTGTTAAGATGCTTTAGGCAAATTTATTAGGAAATGAAATGTAATAAATTGTTAAAAGTGTACTGATATGTTAATTTGCCCATTTCAAGATAAGAAAATTTATTCTTTATTCTATTTCACTGCTTCTGATTTTAAGTAAATGTTTTTTCAAAAATTTGTGTCAACATAGGTAAATTTTTAAGCAAATTGCATTATTTTAATTTTAGTGAATTTCTTTGAAATATTATAGTTTAACATCTTTAGTTAATTTTTTCCACTTGAAGAGTGTGATAAGAAAAATTTGGATGTTTTAGGATAAAATTACTTAATAATTTTCTAATCATAGTACAGATACAAATTTCAGTTTTGTATTTTTCTTACAAAGTTTTATTATATACATTATAAACCTTTAAGTAGCAGCAGCATTGACCTGTCTTTTATGTAAGATACGACATTTTTATGTAGTTTGTAGTTTGTCTAGTAGTAGTGACAATTTTGAAAGGCCGTAATGTGTTCCATGGTGTGCTAATGTTTGATCACCATTATAGCGAACCTTGTCGATATCTTTTTTTTACAAATCTTTTAATGTGTGCTTTTACTTTATTTCCTTAAGATACATCATCAGAAATGAGATTTCCTAGACAAAAAGGGTATATATTTTATGATTGTTGACACATATTCCTGAATTAATTTCTGAAAGCCTTTTTATCCTTCTACATTGATATCAGGTGGTATTGGATGGGAAATCATTTTTGTAGTTACTGAAAATTTTTCAGTAATTGCCAGTATTCTCAGGTATTTCTGTCTTCAGTTTCTCTTTTTATGTATCTGTATAGCCTTTTCCCTCTTTCCCTTTTTTATCTTTGTTTCTTTTTGTCACTTCTTCGCTCTTTTCCTTTCTTGGTTATGGTTTACAAATCAATAGAAATCGCTTATATTTAAGTATTTTGAGAAACTAAAGAATACAAAAGTGTTTTTGAACTTAAAAAATATATTATGTTACACATTTGTAGTAAGTTTGAACTTTTCACATTTATTTATTGATTCCATTTCTTTTGTGTGATTAACTACACATTTTTAGGTATTAAGTATGATGCTGAGAAAGAAGAAAAATCCTTGTAGGATGTTAAACAGAAAGAGCTTTCCCGAATTGAAGAAGCCCTTCAAAAAGCAGCAGAGAAGGGTAAGTAAGTTTATGTTTTAGATAACTTAAGCCTGATATATAATGCATACTATAGATATATTTAGTGTTTGTAAAATTTGTTTTACTTGACAAAATAGAGTGTTGCTCACTGTCATGTAAAAAAAAGAAACTTTGATTTTATTTCTAGAGAATTGGCTTCCTTGTAGAAATGATTACTTTTGTCCTTTTGTTTTACCATATCATTTTATATTCCCCAGAATATGAAATTCCTGATAATAACAGAAAACTCCTAAATTTTAGATTCTGTATTTAAAATGTTAATTCTGTCAAAGTACTATGTAAATATACCCTGAAAAATCCAAAGCTTTGCCAAAAAAGACTTACGATAAGAAAAGGCAGCTTGGCTTTCAACATTTGCTGCTCTTCAAACCCCCTCCTGAGAGGGAATCACAAGCCTGAGCAGCAGACACTCTGCTGTTGTGCAGCTTATTAGTGGAAGGCTGGCAGGCATTGGCAAGGATTCCTGCTGTGGTGAGTCAAGGACTTTACCTCTGTTACTGCCTCTTCTAACCTGCATTGCCTTCTTCCTTATCCCATAATATGGATGCATCATAACTTTGGCAATTTCTGGTTAGTACTTACATTACTATGACAATATTATTGTGCACTGCATAGGTTAAATAATGGATGGTGGTCATGTGTCCTTCCTTCTGTAGTCATTTTTCTTGAATTGTAAATGCTTTTTATTTGCCTAGTCTTCTATGTATACTTTAAATTTTTCATGTTATGTGAAATTGATCTGTTATATGACTGTGAAAATTGTTTTCAGGTTGTCTTTACCCATCTCTTGGTCCTCTCCACCTCTTTTTCATGAAGTTTTCCCTTTGAACTGTTGTGTTTTTTGTAGCACTAGGTATTGACTCCAAAGCCTTTGGTTGAGTAGGCATTATGCTGTACTGCTGAGCTCCACTGCTGGCCTTGAACTGTTTCCTGTTTCATTCTATTTTGTTTTTTAAAGGCTTGTTATATACTTGTCTTCCTCGACACTGTTCTTTGTTGCTCTTTCGCATTTAATTAACTATATCTAGTTCTCTTTCCGTTTTTCTGTCTTTGCTTTCCCATACTCCTGTTATGGGTGTTGTCATTAAGAGACATTTAGTAGCTTTTAATGTAATTTTGTAAAATTTTTACAAATGTTGTTTTATTTTACTTCTAGCCTTGTGTATTTTGCCTAGGGATTAAACCCTAGGTAGAAAATCAAGAATTTGAAGGATGCTTTTGAGAAGTCAAATGTCAGTCTGCTTACATATTGTTGGAAACATAAAACTTAGAAAATTATTATATCCTCTTGTCAGGGATCTTACATTTGATTTGGACAGAGAGGCAGTTGTATAAAGATAAGCAGGAGAAAGTGTGTTGCATCCTGATTAAAAGGTGCAGGCGTTAGGGCAGCTGAGAATTGGACTTATCATGTGCAGCACAAGAGATCGGGGCAGAAGGGGTCGTGTTGTTTACTTCAGCTAGCTGTGAAGAGTGCAGAAGAGTAAGAGGGGTCAGTGAGGGTGGGAAGGTGTGTACTGCCTGTGACGGTTAGGGAGCTGCATAGGGTGTGGATCCCTGGAAGGCTGGGAAGCTAATTTAGGGTAATTTTAAGAGGTTGGAAAGCCTCAGTGATGCAGGCATTCTTCGGAGTACTTCATATGAGTTAGCTCAGTGAATAGTTCCCACCCAGCAGTTCAGGTGCTGTTGCCATCTGTTTTAGAGTTGAGGAAGCTGAATGTTAAATCATTTGCTGTGTATGACACAATGAGAAAATGGTAGCTCTAGAATTTTAATATACTCTGACTCTAGATTCTGTATTCTTTTTTTTTAATGCTAGGAATCAAACTCAGGACCTTGTGCTTGCCAGGCAGATGCTTGTGCTACTGAGCTATATCCCTAGCTAGATTCTGTATTCTTAATAGTGAACTTCAATCTGCGGCCAGCAGGGAGCTAAATTCTCCTTTTGCCTTCTTTAAAAATCCAAAGAGGGGGTGGTGAGCCCTAAGGATTCTGACATTGTGTCTGAAAGCAGATCCTACCAATTTAAATGAGGACATTTCCGCTGACTCTGAAATTAGTGTTAAATATCACTTTTCTGAAATGGGCAAAAGAGCAGGCAAAGAGAACCAAAGGAATAGATTATTTTGTTCCATTTGAAAATTTGTAAAATATTTCAGTGAGACATTAGCTATAATCAGTAGTATTTGCCTGTCTTGCTTAATTTGATTGTCACAGTTTTGATTAAGAATTTTTACTTTAATACTACGAAAATGCAGTTTGTATGTGGAAAGAATAAAAATGATGTCACTGTAAGTATTTCTTCAGAAGTAGATGGTTTGGTGTAATTGAATTTCAGTTGTCCTGTGAATGGTTTCTAATTCTCTTTGCAATCAAGGTTAGGTGTATTTTACACGTGGAAATTAAAGTTGTCTTTTAATGCTTTGCGTTTTGGTTATTGCTGCCATGTGGATACAGGCACACATTCAGGACAGTTCATATATGGCTTGGAAAACTTGGTTTACAAGGACATCAAGCCTGGTGGGTATGCATGGTTAATTATTTTCAACTGTAAAAGTTATACTCTTATCCATGCTTGTGCTCTTAGAGGAGTCCATTTGATGGTGTGCCATCCTTTGAAAAATATGGAAATGTAATTCATACCTTTCCCTTTACCATCGTTTCCTTTTTCCTACCTTCTCCAGCCATTGATTCATTCACTAAACATTTGATTATCTTTTTGTGGCAAGCATGATGCTGGGTGCCAGTTGTTCAAGGTAAACAGGCACAGTTCCCTGCCCTTGTGAAACTCCAAAGTTTGATCTGTCGGTCACTGTGAAATTTATACTGCCTTTGGGATTTTAGTTTTCTAGCACAGTAGTCCAGTTTCTCAATTAAGTCCCTCCTCTCTCTGTAGCAGTGGTTTTCAAGCTTATGAAAGAAACAAAATGGACTTTTCAGGGTGGGGGGAACAGAACTATATTCAGAACTCTGATAGAAGGTCATCATGGCATTTTTTCTGGTATTCTCCCTGATCTGTTTGGCTTTAGAGGTAGTTCTGGGGGGTCTGTAGCCTACTGTTATGTAGAGCACGTTGATATTCAAAGCTTCATAAGGACAGATTGAAGGTTGCCCTATCAAATGCAATTGTTTTAATACCATAATTTGATTTATTGCATTTTGTACTTTAAAAGTGTAAAGAATTTGGTATATTACCCGCACTTAAAATTTGGTTTGATGAAATGGCAAGCGGGCTCTGTAACTCAAATTTTAGACAAAAAGCATTGTGCTAGAATTACTTCTGCACCTAGAAACTTGTTTAATATGTAGGTTCATTGTGACAGTTGGAAAAAGAATTTGCTTGGCAGATTCACAGCATTAAGTGAAATTACCCAGAAAGCACATTTCCTTGTAGCAAATCTACCCTTTTAGTTCGCTAACTATGTTACTTTGTTTTAGCTACTTTTATGTAAAAGGCAGCATGCAGATGAATATGGCTGTCTGTCCAGTTTCATAGGTTGTGGTTTTCTGTTTTTTTTTTTTTTTTTTTATTTAAGGAGAAAAGAAAAGAAAGAAAAAAAACAGTGAAGGGGTACAAGTTATACAGATTTACAGAATAAAAAAATGCGCAGTAGGAAATCACTAGTTAATGGATTACATATTGCCATCTTAGAAATAATTGTTCAAGTCACAAAATTAAAGCTTGTAGAGTGGACATTCCAACAATGATACTGCAAACAGTTCTGTTCAATGATCCAATAAAACTCTGTGATATCATTTTCTATCTTATACATTTAAACATACATGCAGTTATATAGTTTAGAGCACTTTCTTTTCCTCTCTTTTGTACAATGACAATTACCCATTTTGGGTTTTGTTGCTCCCACAGTTCTTATTACTTTTTTGGAAGGGAGTAGAACCAAATGTGACATAACAGAACAGAGTCAATCAAATCAAAAGGGTAATAGATAATGTAAAAGCATAATACTAGGTGATCAACAATGGTTACCATAATGCCTCCCGCTATCTCTAATAGAATTGCCTATATCATTAGTTATAATAAAATTGAACAAAACAGTAAAGAACAAAACCGACAAAACCAAAACATTGGAGACATTATAGGTCTTCAAAAGTAGATAAAAGTCAACGAGAATGGGCGTTATAATGAATCTCATTATCTTCTCAGCTGATGCCTGAACTTTCGAACCTGATACTATCCAGCAAAACAGAATAGAGGAACCTCAGTCAAAAACAAGATGGTGAGAGTAATACAGGGCTTCAAATCAAGATAATAGAAAGTCAAAGTGGGTTATTATATTATATCCTGCTATATTTTTCCCTTTAATTAAATGGATAAAAATAAAAAAGTAAATAATGGAGTGGAGATTGAGAAAAAAGAGGGCATAACAGCGAAACAGGGCAGATCAAAACATAACCATTTAAGCAGAATAGTGTTTCACCACCAGATAATCCTGACCCAAAAATAGTTACCATATTGACTCCCTCCCTGAAGTCCTTGAGTACAACTTCATATACTGTAGCATTAAGTATATCAAAACAATGTAAAACCATTTAAGAGAATGACAGCATTACAGGGTATTTAGAATCAACTAACAGAAAATGAACAATGGTTTCTGTATAATCTCCTTGTCTTTAAAAGTTTTTGCTTATACTATCGTACATAATAAAATCCAATAAGATACAACCTGTTTAGACCATTGGAGACAGAAGAACAAAAGCTAGATGAGACTTCAAAACAAGATGGTACTAAATCAGCATTACCTATTAAGATGTCATTTTCTCCAAAAAAAGCTGTTCCTATCATCCAATCTTCTCTGTCTCGTTTCTGTTGAGCTCTTTTTCTGTCAGTAGCTGTCAGTAGCTTGTCTTCTTCATTTTGTTCTCTGCTCCATTCCTTGTGGCCTCCCTGCCACTATTTCTGGGTTCTTTGTATTTTTCTTTTTTTAGAATATCCTGCAATATTTTCTGTAGGGTTGAAT